GAGGAGATTATATAATATTTCTGCGCTTATATATATGAGAATATCTTTTTTTTTTCATATATAATTTGTACAGATAAACTATTATTAAATTTTAAATATTTTAATTTTATAAATTATTTATTACTTTTCTTAATTAAAAAAATTATTTAAATCACATTTAGTTGCTTCATTTCTTTCAATATATTATGATCCAAGCTACAGATATACATTGTTTCATGCATTATTAACTGCTAAATAGATCGTCGTAGCCGAAACTTCAGCAAGATCACCGCGCCACCGTGTAACGATAAGCTCGTATATACAAAACGAGTGTGTGTTATAATAATTCGAAATCCGAGAGCGTGTGTTTTCGTCTTCGGGATCTCACAGCAGGATACGGCATAGTATCGCTCTACATCGTGTAATTGTCGAGGAGCCAAGGCAACGAGTGAAAGGAATATTTAAGGACGCACGTCGTTTCGAGGAACATTTTGTCCCCCATTTCCGGCTTGCCTGTACAAACTCGAAGCCGGTGGTTCAAGTTGCGTCAGGCAACACGTGTGTACACGCGTATTTATCGCTCGTGTGTACCGCCTCTCGCGCGTATATATATACTTAGCTAACCAAAGAATGGGATTTCCATACCTGCACCGTCCACTTCGTTTCTTTTCGCGAAATGCGGAGTGAAGTCGTAAGGTGCTTATCGTGGAGTGCGCTAAGAGGGTTACTCTTCAATGATGCATGTGATGCGTCGTTAATACGTTGAAGATTGTGTTGTCAAAAGCTGTCCGTACGCGCGAACCGCCAACACAGTTCATAACTCTGATTACGTCTCGAGAATGTAGATAAGTATACAATATAATAAATAGAGAGAGAGAGAGATATATATCAAAGAGGTATGTGGTCTCTACGCCAAAGCGATATATAATCAAAAAAAGAAGGCTTCATTCAATATTTACTCGGCTGAGATTTGTTAACAAACCAGCTTGATAGCTTGACGCCATTTTGGAACGTAAATTATAAATACTTAACGAAGTCACAGCCGAAAGATGTAGTACGGGTATCTTGTGCACGTGTAACAAACGTACATTTTTATAGAAGTACATGAAATTTTTTTTATAAAAGGCTATATAGGAAAAACATCTTTATACTTTATTAAAAATAAATCACTTTCATATTTTATGTATCTTCAGAAGCAACCAAAATAAATTCAGTACAGTATAATTATATATATTTAAAAGTAACTGCACAAAATAATTTTTCCTTTTTATTCAATTTTATAATTTTTTGCAACGCTTCCAACAAGTTCAAAAGAATTTTTCTCTAATATTTGGCAATACCACGGACTATATTATGCGAATTCGTCAAAATTTGTGTATCAAAAGCTTCAGAAAAATTTTATATTCCCCTTCGTACAATTAAGTACCAATTGATTGATGGTAGAACTTTGGCACGTAAACTGGTCCCGAATAATCATACAGTTATTCCCACAACACGCACGTCAGAAATGTCCGAGAGAGACGCACTTCAACCGCGTTTCCTTTCTCCGCGATCCACGGAGGCGTCCCACAAAAAAAAAGGAGAAGCCTCGAAGATCTCTTAAGGCCCCGCTGGCACGTAATCCACCGACTTCGGCGACAGTGTGCGACGAGTCGGCGGTGTGTGATGCGCGAGCATAGAAGGAGAGAGAGAGAGAGAGAGAGGGAAAGGGAAAAAGAGATAGAATGGGATATGGACAGAGAATGAGAGTAAGAAGGAGAAATGAACATATGGTAAGGCGAGTCAGACCACGATGTACCGCGTGTATGATGTAGCCTGGTGGCGTGGCAGTGGGGTCAGGGACGCGGCGAAGGGTGGGTGTCTAAGCGGGACGAGGGGGAGAAAGTCTTTGGATGTGCCGCGAAGAGGGGACGCGCGGGAAAACGAGGAGGGGACGCGGAGGAGAAGAAGGTAGGGTACACACATTGAGCGGAGGACTGCGGCAGGCGGCGGGAGGGGGAGGGGAGGAGGGAATGAGGGGTGGGGGAGCTGAAAGCAGGCCTGTTGGCTGGTTTCAACTATATTTGTTTATATTTACACAATAAGCAACAGCCCCGCCGGTCGAGCTGCTTGGTATGCCTGTGCCGCTTTTAGTGTTTAGTCCTCGGTCTACTCCGGTCGGTGCGCTAACGTTGGCTTTTCGTCTTCTTCGCGAATCTCCGAAGAAGCGCTCTCTCATCTCTCCCATCCCCCTCCCCTCTTGCGTTAATTTTTTTTCTCATTTTCATTCCCTTTATTTTCACCGTCGCTGTCCGTCGCGCGTACAGCTTGTCAGAGGGGGTGCGCTTTCGTCTTACCCCGTTCCTTACGCCCTCCCTTCCTCCCACCCTCCCTCTCATCTGCCGTCGCGAGTGACTGGCGGCCGCGGAGGAGGTTCAAAGTGCCGCTTTCTGGATGCAGTGTGAGGAACGTGTATAGTCGGTGCTTTCGGGTGAGGCACAATCCCCCGGGGCGGCGACTTCCGCCGCCATTGCGAGGGGATTTCCGCGTGTGCATACCGGATGTTTACAGTGGACATAGGCGCGGAGTTGTTTGCGACCGCATACGCGCGACGTCGTTGCGCTTTCGGGAAACCGGAAATGCCGCTCGTCGCGTTTCCTTAGAGGTGTCCGGCTGGCGTGACGCCGGAAACAGCGGATCTTTCTTCTTATCAGACGGTGTTACTTACCGTTATTTCTCATGGATTCTAATGCGCCCACCAGCGAATCGAAACAGATGTAAGGAATTTTGATTGAATCCTCGACGGCGCGTACATTAATTAAGAATTAATTAAGCGATCGTCTTAGGTGACTTTAGGCGTGACGTAATATTAATCGCGACTGTCGTCGTGAATAATCGATGATGCGAAGTGAGCATTAATTATACGACGCTTGATTGCGTATTATTTTTGTTTTACAAAATGCCATCCGAACGTGTACCTCTTCTAGCCGTGGAATTCGAAATAACTGAATGTTTAATTAACGGGTTGCATGTCGCGCGTAATTATTCCTTTCTGGAGAAAATGACGCTTTCCGATTTAGCCGACCGGCCAGATGCATGCTCGAGGAATATTGCATGACTAATTTTTCTTGAATAATTAATATGTTAATAGTGATTTAATTTTCGGAATCTATTTTTGCACCGGCACGAACGTAATACAATAATCTGTCTACATTTACACATTCCCACATTTATTTATTTTTTACGGTTTACTATAAACGCGTTTCATTTAACTTTGCAATAAATTACTCATTCAAAATATACACACATACCATATTATATTTTCTACTTTAAATTATGATCAGTATACACGCTTTGTACATCTCGCGTACGGTGTTACGATGGAATTTACCAATTATTTATACGTGGCTGAACTATCGTGTGATGCTCCGTAATATTTACGATAACCACGTAGGTATTGTGTATTATACACCGCTTATGATGAGAAGCAGAGTCTCGGCGTGAATGTAGCAGAATCTTAGCATGGATGTTACGCATTTCCGGGAAAGTATATATTATTAGCTTTCCGCAACCGCGAAACATTGTTTCTCTTGCGTCGGGTAGGTGGAATCACGTGCGTCAGACTTCGATCTAAAATCATGGTACACGCGAGGGCAGCAAGTTGGATAAGAGCGCGTATTTCGATATTTCATCACGATTACCACATTCCGGGATCATGACTGAATGCTCCTAAAATAGTATAATTAATTATTTGTTACATAGCTTTTTTTCTACATATTTTTGATATTCTTTTTATCTCTTATCAATATTTATGTACAACTAGAGAGTTTATGTTAAATTTGTATTTGTGTATTTATGCATTATTCTTTAATGAATTATATATTTTAAAAAAAGTATCGTAAGAAATATTGTAATACAGATTTTATTTTAAGGGGATGCTAAACTAGAGATTTAACTTTAAATTATCACTGTTTTATCGACAATTTCTGCATATGTATGCGTGTGATATTGATGTAGTGATGTGTTTACTATCACATCAATATCGCACGCACACATTGTAACAAATATTTTAAACAAGTAATCTTTTACACATTAAAGCTTCTAACTATTTTTAAAAGCACTATTTTTTCATATAAACCCTTAGTCCAAACCGATTGTTTTATGTGTACAAAGTGTTAAACTTTTATATAAAGCAAATATTGTTACGAGTTGACGCCAGAAGCCGATAACAAAACTATAATTTTCCAACTTTTTTTCATTTTTGATAAAGTCGACCGGTTTGGACTACATTATCGTTTATATTTTGTTTGCGGAAAAGGATTTTAAAATGTAAAGGCAGCTAGAAAAATACTTGTTTAAAATATAAATCACATTCGGTAGATAAGACAGACGACTTTAGGATTTCCTTAAGCGTATAGAAGCTGTTACTAGAATAGAATAGAATTTATTACTTCAGCTTCATGCTAAGAAGGAACTTGATTTACTCTTTTACTCACATCCATCCATACCTTTGGTTTATTGTTAGATATTAAATATGAACTCCGTCAACTGACTATAAAATTAAATTTTTAAATTTAACTCTACCTTATGACTACTTTTATTTAACCATATTTTTCTTATCTTATTTAGCTTATTTATTAGAAGTTGTTACTATTTTATTTACACAAATATTACGTGAAATTTTTAATACAGCACAAGTATAAACAAATGACGATAATCTTTACTTGGTAGAAACAAGTATTTGTTAAGTTATTTGGTAGAAACAAGTGTAAAACATAAGATGTATAATCTTTATTAGAAACGTGATTTGTAATTGTATTATAACTATTATATTATATAAGATAAGATATAAAGATACAATTTTAATATTTTATATTAAAGCAAAAATAATATTAACGTTTATTACATATTGCCACATTCCAATAAATTAAACTGTGATGATAAGAAAATGCGAACGAGCAATATTCACCGAAAGCGTGCCTCATTTATAATCGAGTTCGGTGCACAAGAGTGTACTGACGTAACGATGATCGTGATTTCAGGACGATGGCATAATGGATCATGATACAGACGGAGACGGCGCGATCAACTTGTCAACGTCACAGCGACCCTCCGCTGCTACCACCCCTAATAGTGATACTCCCACTTACGGCCAAGATCAACAAAATAACGATCAGGTAAGCAGATAAAAAGTTAATCCCTGAGAATGACATCATTTATTTCCATATACAATAGTTATTTTTTTTTACTATTTTTTTGATAAGTCTTGGACGTAGAGCAAAGAATTCGTTTCTAATCTAAGATATCACTACTTAGCACTTGAAAAGGAAAATGTTATCCTAGAGCACGTGATAAATAAAGTAATCAACCAATATCACGCATTAATCACGTACACGTTAAATATATCTATTGCGTTTAGTTAAACTTTGTTTAGGTTTATTCTAAATCTATTTTCTCTCTATCTTTGTCTTTCTTTTTTACATTTATTAAATATATTATAAAATTAAATATTTATTTGATCAGTCATGACAAATAAATCGAAAATTAAATATAATCATGAAAAGTATGTATACATACGTACAAAAAGTTAAAATTATGAAACACTCGTGACACATCATTTAATTAGATCTAATTCGGCCATTGACACAAAATTACGGCAAGACTGACTGATGGCAATATAAATAGAATGAAATGTGTGCTATTCGAGAATGAGTATTATATTCGGAAAATTTTCGAAACGTGGAGCGAAAAATATTTACTATAGTCGCAGAAATATACGAATAGTGGTTGTTTAGAACACGGCAATCAGACTGAACTTGTGCTAATTTAAACAATGAAACAGTCGCTTTTATCAAATGATGACGAAATATGATAACATTGATCCATATAATAACGCTAAATATAGCCGCAGCTGTTTATACGCGATAAGGTTCAAGATGTTAATCTGCGCCAACAATGTAACATTCTTTTTGTTAGTAACATTTGTTGTCAATATGTGGCACATGGCGCGCGCTATCGTGAAGAATGCCAGAAGAAGTATCTGTTTCCATAGTAATTTTGCACAATCTGGATATTCGATTTATCCATATTAACGCGATCCATATGGATCTTATACCACATTTATTTATTCAACATGCACATTGTATTATATTTCGCAACATTTCGACATATTAATGTCACGTGAGCAAATTAATATTAACACGAATTATTGCAAACAGCGTATGTGTATAATTATATTGTCGATACTGTGGTTTACAATCTGACATCAATGGTATGGTAATATAACATTCGTTTGTTTTACAAATACCATTGTAGAAGAGATCTTCAAAATGACATATACTTTTCGCATCTGCCTTATTTAAGTGAAATAATGAGATGAAGAGACTTGTGTATTTTAAAAGAGATGTTATTCATATACAAATATGTATATCTTCTATATATATAAAGTATAGACAAATGGAACCGATTTTGATTTTTTTTTCTTTCACTATGTGAAATTAATCATATATAGAAAATACAAATATTATAAAATTAAAAAATCGAAGTAAATGAATGCTGCTAATAATAACAGAATCTCGGGATCTCGCGTAAAACATCTGCAACAAGTTGGAAGAAGTAAGCTTCGCAGCCTCCGAGCTATAAGTATGACCCGATCGTTTCGAGTGATCATCAAGGTGGAGTAGAGTCAATAAAACGAAACAGTGACCTCCGCGCTCTTTTACGCGCCCCTCTTTCGTGCTTTCTCACGCGAAGTCCAAATCGAAAACGGAATTGAACGGTCTTCCGCATCCTGTATCGCGATCTACGGAGTAAACCGATAACGCCCTTTTCGAGCTTTCGTCCCGGGATCTCTCGGAGTTTCCCGGCGATAAGCCGACACCGGGCGCGACACTTCGACATTTGACACCCGGCTGCCATAAAATCGGGCCCCCTGATTTCAAATTCAATTCAAAATCCCGCGCTCGCGGACGAACGCAATATACCACCCCGGCGAGCGGCGGTGGTGGAAACAAATGTTTTATGACTCTTAAAGCGGCCTTTTCCAGCGGTTTCGTTTCCGCAAAGGTATAATATGGTTCGCGACGTATGCATGCCTGTATGATATACGTATTTCGCGAATCATCTGGCGCGATCAATTCGCGAAAAAGTGCTTTGATCTTCCGTCTATAAATAAATCCACGTTTTTAGCAAAAACGTATAGCTAGTCCGTTATTTCTAAATGGCATATCAAAAATATTGACACACATGTCGCACCCTTACTTCAAAACAAGAAAATAAAAAAAAAAGACTTAATCATCAAAAGTCTGGGAAACATAATTTTTTTTTTTAGTTGTGTTACTTTTGAAGCAAGGATGCGATATTACTAACTTCGTATTTCTTCCAACTGTTCCAATTCTTCCAATTTCTTATATACCAATCTTCATATACGTACACCTTGAAGAGCAAAAGGCAAACCTTATACGCGTCCGACATTAGCCGGGATAATTAATTATAAATGTGGATAAGCAGGTTTAATACCGAGGGACCCGCGTAATACGAAACCGTTTATCGAGTTTTATTTTCGGTTTCCCTATTCCCGATGACCCAAGGAGTAAAATCGTGTTTCCCCGTTCGAAGGATCGACTATCGGGCTAATATTAAAATGCATGTACCGTATTAATCCTGCCGAGTTTAGCTGAGATATATCAAAATGAATACAGGTCGCGATATTTTATTACGTCCAGGTCAAACCGAAAGAGTATTATCGTTGTTAAGAGATTCTGAATTCCTAATATTGTATTAAATTAGTACAAATTCAATTATCTAATATAATAATTTCTCTTAACGACAATTCAGTCTTTTTTTATTTTTGTTTCCGATCACTTCAATTCCGGGGAATGAACTCCAATCTTGAAATAACTTGCTAAATAGATTTAATTTTATGCTATATTTAATTATATATACCATACTTATATAAATAAATGCACACATCAGCATTTATCGAATAATTTAGATAAACATAGTTGTCTTTTAGCTTCATCAAGTCCAAATAAAGAGGAGATACAATTATTTATAAATATTTGAAAGCTCATTTGAATTAGAGGTTTAAGCAAAAGTTTATGTAAAAAATTAACAGTATTTAAATATATTGTATGTTATAAATTGAAGATGAGGAAAAGTTAATATTAGTTATATTTGTTATCTATATTTCAAATTAATTGCTCATATATTTTAGTTAAATTACTGCTCGCCAAAAATTTCGAATTACCTTGGTTCCGAAAATCAAAATGTGTCCCCATTCTTGATAATCACGAAGTGTCTCACACACGAGTCGACGTTCCAACGAATTGGAACACGTGAAAGTGCCGCGGCAATTACATCCTCTCGTAACGAAGTCACGAAGATATCAGAATCTCAATGGCGAGGCACGTAGACACCTCGACACTTCGACTTCGTGTGCTTCACTCCGTCTTCCCCTGCCTGCCGATCCGCCCGGTAACCGCAGTGGAACGACATCGTCCCTCGCGACGTCCTTAGGCTACCGCGTCACTCCGCGCGAACCCTCGCAGCCCCGACTCTCGTCTCTCAAGAACCCCTTAAATTATAAACAGTGTCAGGCCGCGGTACTTCGATCGCGGCCACGGTTTCTCGAAAACGCAAACTTGGCTTCCGACTGTTCGTTCGTATCGGAACAACTTGGTACGCAGTTTGTTAGATACTCGCGCGGCTATCTCAGGTGTTATGCCCGCAGTTTTCGCAGTTGAAAATCCATTTTGAAAAACTAGCACGTTTGATCAAACTGCAGTAATAACTGCGTTATTCGGTGCTCGACTGAACATGGGATTTTCTATTTACATTCGATACACTTTTGACTTTATAACTTTTTTTTTATTTATATTGTTTATTCTCGTGGAAATGTTAAAATATTATCAAATAAAATATTGCCAGAACTTTTTGGCTAGATGGGAATTGTTCAGATTTATTGATGTATGTAGTTCGATATCGCGCATACACAAAAATTTCCAACTATCAACGCTTTCTGACGAAAATTTTTTTTTAATCTTTCAAAAGTTTTTAATTAATCAATTTTGCAGCAACAGATGTACATGTATGTAAAGTTCTTTTGCGTTTTTTAAATGATAAAAAAGTATTAATTCTGTACACGATAAAGCATGATGAGAATGAGCTAGCAGCTATACCTGCGAATAAAAATTCTGGTTAGACTGACGTAATGTCTCATTCGGCATGGCATAGAATCTCAACTTCTGCTTAAACTTTCCGTCCGGTTAATAAGTTAAGTACAGAATCGCCTTGAAGTTCTGCATAGAGATTGCAAATAATTGACTCAACGGGACAATTGTCGACATTAACCTAACCCATTACTCGGAAAGCTAGCGAGATTCTACGAAGTTACGGAGTCTATCAAGATTGCTTCAAGTGTGACACAATGGGAGTAAGGAAATCGCGGTCGAATCGTAGGGCGGTCAGCAAAAGTCAATGGTTACCCAAAACTCGATCCCAAAACGATCAAGCCAACTTCATAAAGTCGTAAGATCCCGAAGTTCGTTGATGTTCGATTCAATCGACACTTCCTTCCTCCACATCTAAAATAAGAGTAAAACGGCTCAAAGGATCTCGTACAAAGACTTTCACATACCGAAACTTATAACGCTCGTCTCTTCAAGACTCATAAGAAATCCAAACAGTTTTTCGAGAGTATTACGATTAAATTATTAACACTACTTTTCCAAGTGCAGAAAGTGAGCATTAAACTATGATTTTAAATAATTGTTTTAATCACGTAACTGGAGTGTAGACATACATATATGTGCATTTAATATATACATATATGTATATACACATATGAATACATACAATAAGTAATATAGAAGGTTTCCAAAATATCTCGCTCTATACTCGCTAGCTTACCGATAACCGAATCTTTATTTACACAAGCAACGACTGAGCAGATGTACGGTGTCACCTACGTAACATAAGTTTCGTGTGTGTGGACATATATGTACACACGACAACGTAATATCCTCTTTTACAACCTACGTTTATGCGTGCGTGGCCGGAATTATCTATCTCGTTTTGTGTATATACCAATATGTGATATCACTTTCTCGTCACTCGTATTATTTTTATCAATTTTCAATTTACCAGTTGTTGTCGCTTATTGTTTATAAGATAATGT